TGTTGCTGTTGCTGTTGCTGTTGCTGTTGCTGTTGCTGTTGTTGTTGTTGTTGTTGTTGTTGTTGTTGTTGTTGTCGTTGTTGTTGTTGTGGTAGTAGTAGTAGTAGTAGTTGTTGTTGTCGTCGTCGTTGTTGTTGTCGTCGTAGTAGTAGTAGTAGTAGTAGTAGTAGTGGTAGTGGTAGTGGTAGTGGTAGTGGTAGTGGTAGTGGTAGTGGTAGTGGCAGTAGTAGTTTTGTACTATTATTGTTGTGATGATTATCGGGATGTTACTACTATTGGTATGACGTTGACTTTTAGTATGGGCCTTCAAGCGATCAGCATTCATGTTTGGATCTTGCATCCAGCAACAACGGGACCCAGCCATGCGCAGCCCAAGCCTGAGCCGCGGCAAACTTTGTGTTTTGTCAAGTATGTCTGTGTTGATTGAGTTTTGTCCAGCGAGGGAATCCTCATCGAGAAACCCCTAGCCGAGTGACGGGCAAAGCAGCTTCCGTGTTTGAGCTCGAGCCCAGACACACGAAGCCGCAGTGGTCCGAATGGTTTGTAATACCTGCATGGACCTACATGTTATCTTAGTTAGTTTCTCCAATACCCAACCTTTAAACTTTTGGGGTTCTTATAGTTTAGTAGTAACCTGAATGTTTAACTTTCTATTTCCTGGCATATTGGGGAAGCAAGTTAGACGAAAACGCACCCCTAAACCATCACCCCTCATGAAACCCTATAAACCCACAGCCCTCTCCAAGGCCGTGCAGGTTCGGGTGAAGAGGTTAGATCTGGTGAAGCAACAGCTAGAGTGTCCTGGCTTGGATAGAGTGAGGCGTTCAGGCTTCAGGGCTTCTTGCTTGGCGTTTGGGACTCAGGGTTTGGGCTTAGGGTTCTTTGAGGACTCAGGGTTTGGGTTTAGGGTTCCGAATGCCTGCCTCAATCAAGATGCTTGTGGTTTGAAGACTGGCTGGACATGAGCCCAGTAGCGAGTTGGTTCCGGGCTGAATTTGCCAGGGTTGCAGATGGTTTCAGCCATGTCTTCAAGATCAGGCCCGTAGACTACTTATGGTGTTCACGGTGGTTTCGTGTTTGACCATCTTGGTTATCGGGCTTATAGTCGGCGGTAAGGGCAGTTTTTTACATGTACCCGAATGTAGCCATGGATGCATCCATGCATGAATGCATAGCGGCCCACGCCCATGTCGAACTGTTTGTCCACAGTCGCGAATGCCGGTGTGTCGATACGTGGTGGGCGTTAATTAGTGCGGTCCAGCGTGTACATTAAGAACCTGGGTTTCATTGCACTGTATTTGTCTACGTTGCTCGTGCTATGTTAACCAACTAGTTACGGTCAGCGTTGGCGGGTTGTAACGGCTTGTTTTTTCGCTACAACTTGCACTGCTGAGGTTCACCATGTACAACTATGTGCCCACCACCAAGTCCGCACTCAGTGAATTTGCCGCAATGCCACAGGACTGAACGTGGGCGTACTGCCTGCTGAAGCTTCGCCGATCCCCGAAGCCTAAACCCGCGTACATCCACCAATGAGAATCCCGGTTCCGATACCTTCCCCAAGCAAAACCATCAGTGCATCCCCGCTCGGTGTGCGTAGTCGGGCTGCGAAGCTTTAGAGCTTAGACTGCTCGTTGTGCTGTATCGCAAAAAGCCCGGCTGTCGTCAGAGACCCGGATGCAAACAAGACATTGTAGAGTAGGTGAGGGAACCCAAGCCACATTCCCGCATACTCATGCTCTAATGTACCCAAACTACCAGTATAGTTATTCAGGCTCCTATACTAAAGGTCTCTCTCTCTCTCTATATATATATATATATATCTATCTATATATATTGCTTGGGGGGTCTGGGCCTTCAACAGCCAGCTGCGATATACCGGAAATTTGCGACTGCAGGACCGCTGGCTCAAAGGAAAGGTCCGAGTCTGAGAGCTACTAAAGTTACTAAAGCCAACCTGCGAAGAAAGAGTTGAAGCTTTGAGGGTTTTTGATTCTTTTAGGGCTTCGGCTTTTAGGGTTCAGGGTTGCTACTCAGATTCAAGACTTTCCGGGTTTCGGGTTCTAGGGCTAGGCGCAGGGAACCTCCGCAGCACATGCAGGTTTCGAGCACGGTCGTTTTGATACGACTTGTAGTCCGTGAGTTTTTTCGGGCTATGGGTACCTCAAGATTTATATAAGGTTCAGTGTCCTAGTACATGGGGGGCTGGGCTCCGAGGTCTATCTATCCTTCTATCAAGCCGTTTCATATTTCCCAAAACACTAGTCTTGTTTGAGGCGAGTTTTTTTAGCCAAGTAACATATCACTTTCGGATGTGCAGAAGCCATGGGGCCCTGGTCTGTTTGTCCTAAACCCCCATAAGGCCCAACTAGGTACCACTAGTATTTCTGTGGGTTCCTATGATACTTTCGTTTGCCCCACTCGTGCACCCACCCTCTAACAACAAAAGCACTTTCTGGAACATCTCCCTCTTTTTGAGGGGTGGGTGCAGGTACATCAGCAAGAACTGGAGCAAGAGCTGGAACAATAGCAGGAGCAAGGGCAAGAGAGCGCGAGCAAGATCACTTGAACAGTGACTGTGGAGCCAATAAGCCCTAAGTTTCAACATAGGCTTTGAGTTGTTGGTGGAGCGGGCTCCCTCTTCCGATTAATATTAGGGTGCAGGGATGTGAAGGGACTGGCATAAACCCCTCACAAAATGTGTTCTAACTATGAATGCAACGCTATATGGGTAGTTCTCTAAATTTGCGTCCCTTTTAGGGTCCTTTTTATAAGGGTGCCGTATTATATTGGGGACCTAAAAGGGGACCCTAATTTTGACAACCACCCATATAGCAAAACGCTGCAGGTGCGGAAGCTCATGCCCTTCGGTCTCTTTGTCACCGTCCAGGGAGACAATGTGCAAGCGGATGGGCTGGACACTTGTCTCTTAGAATTTAATATAATATAGGGGCCTCAATAATTAGAATAGGGTTGGGGAAATTCCTTAGTATAAGTATAGTATACTATACTTATACTAAGGAACTTCCCCAACCCTGTTCTAATTATTAAGGCCCCTTTGAACTTAGGGTTCAGCGCTTAGGGTTCGGGTTGAGGGCCGTTCGATCCGTGGGCCCTAAACGGCAGGATGTCGCAGCTTGAGCTGGTTTTGGGGTTTAGGGTTTAGGGTTTAGGGATTTAGGGATTTAGGGTTTAGGGTTTAGGGTTTAGGGTTTAGAGGGTTTTGAACTGAGCCCGACACCCTGAGCCCCAGGTGCCATACCTTTTTAGGGTTGAGGTGTTCCCCTGACCCGTTGGAGCCTTGTTCTCAGACTTGAGGTGCAGCCGCAGCCATAAACCCTAAACCCTAAACCCCTAAACCCCTAAACCCCTAAACCCTAAACCCTAAACCATCCAAGGTGCATGTGAGAAATGCCAAGGAGGGCTTCCTGCCGAAGTTGGAAGACGAGTGGCTGGGCTCAGGATCTACTTTTGGAGTTTCCGAAAATAAGGGGGTACCTTATTTTGGGATCCTTATATTAGGGATCCTACTCGTACTATTTAGGGTACTATATTAGGGTCCCCTGTTTTCGGAAACCCCCACATTGGGACTGTAAGGGGACACTATTGCTTATTCTTCCGACCCCTACATGAAACCGACGGGCTTAGGGCTTATGGGGCTTGTATGTTGTCCAGAACATCACTGCGCTTTGCAGCCAATGAAAGGTCGGATTTTGGGGATTACGGTTTAAGCGGTTTAGGTTTAGGTTCACTTTGCATTGGCGGAATCCAGCGTATGCGTGAAACCGCCACCTTGCATGTTGCTGGGGCATGGTGTTGGGCTCCGGATTGTTTAGTCCTCCTACACCCCTAAACCCTAAACCCTAAACCCTAAACCCTAGAATAGGTTTTGAGAGGGTTATGTTGCCGGCCTCTGGAGGCTCGGCTGTGGTTGATGGCTTTGCCAGGGCAAGGGCTGACGGTGTAGGATTTATATGAAACAAATGCACCCTGAAGGGCCATCATATGAGAACCCTCAACCCTAAACCGACAAACCCCTAAAATCCTGGATATGAAGACAGAGCCACGAAGCCTCAAGTCGCGACATAGCGAGCCCTGTCTTGAAGAGCCAGCTTTTGGTATGAGGGTTTAGGGTTTAGGGGATCTTATGTAGAAAGCCTTCTTTACAGGGGATAGCTTACCAGGAAGCAACAGGCAATTCTGATCGGATGCTCTCAGAGCGTTGGTGTCGTTGTCCTGCGAAATGGGGCGTTCACATTGAAGTCTTTACCTGGAAGTGTCCGCAGCAAGACGTCTTTCGATCACCAAGCAAAAGGGTGCTGCTGAGTTGTATCGGGAAGACTCTCAGTTAGCCAGCATTGTGGTGCTTGCTACCCCACCATAGATTCCAGAGGGTGGGTTCTCAGACCCTAGCCCAGCTGTGTGCGGGGGAGTGAGAGTCGAAACCCTAAGGCTACTTGCTTGCTTCTGAGGTTCTAAACCCTAAACCCTAAACCCTAAACGGCTACTTGCTTGCTTCTGAGGTTCTATGTCGGTCAGGAGGTGGATGTCCGCGTGGAGTACGTCGACCTTGGGCAAGAGAAGATGGGTCTGACTATGCTCGGTCCGAACGCTGCCAGTAGGAAGCCGGAGGCTCCATAGGGTCTTTAGGGCTCGTCGCAGGGTTTAGGGTTTAGGGTAGAGTCTTTAGTGCTCGTAACAGATTGTTATATTTGTATGATATTATGGTCTTTAAGGGTTTATATAGGATTGAGTAGACTGTAAAGCAGGCTAACAGGCTACGGCTAAAGAGGAGCATGTTAAAATGTGGCTTCGTGGCTTCGCATCGCTCCCCCAAGACTGCTGCATTGTTTGTTTGTTCCAACATGTGAGGCGAAACTCTGCATCCGTAAGTCCAGGAACCAGCAAACAAACGTGAACCCCAAACCCGCAACTCGGAACCCTCAACCCTTAAACCCTAAACCCTAAACCCTGAAGCCCTCAGCCCTATCATCCCCAGGCCCAAACCCCCCAGAATCCAACCCTACTCGTACCCGAACCCTATAAAACCTGTTTTTTTAGGGTTCCTTATTCTGATATCTTTATAGGAGTTCCTCATAAAGGTTGGTTATTTAGGGTTGAGGTAAGCCCCAAAAGAACACCTAGCTGATGCCCTGAGCCGAAGAGACATCCGTTTCGAGCCTTCGACAGAGTGCCGGCAGCCGTCGGAGAAAACAAGCGCCGGCAAGGGCTCCACGGGAGTGAGTTTGGGGTTTGGGTTTTGGGGCTTTAGGTTTTATGCAGGGCTTTAGGGTGTATAGTATTAGAGGGATAGAGTTCAGGATGCAGGGATTCAGATATTTTAGGGTTGAGGGTTTGGTGTTGGTAAGATTTCGGAAAGTATCGGTTAGGGTCATCGGGTCATGACATTTTATGGTTTCTACAAGGCTGAGGCGTTTCGGGTTTGGGGCTAAGGGTCTGGGCTCTAAGGTTTACCTATAAGCTCCATTGTAGTTCCTTCCTGTGGTTTACATTTAGGCTATAGGCTTAGTTCTCCAATACCCAACCTTTAAACTTTTTGGGTTCTTCTAATTTAGAAGTAACCTGAAAGTTTAACCTATTTCCCTGGCATAGTGGGGAAGCAAGTATAGGGTAAACCCTCAACCGTAAACCCAAAAAGGAACTACAATGGAGCCTATGGGTATGAACGTTTCGAGGGGTTCCCAGGGATTCCCGAAGTTTGGGCTCCTTCTGGGCTGTGGGCCCAGAAGCTTCGGGTCTAGGGTTCACGGGCCCTGGAGTTTAGGGTTTAGGGGTTTAGGGGTTTAGGGTTTAGCGGTTTAGGGTTTCGGGGTTTAGGGTTCGGGAGACCTAAAGTTAAGGGTTTAGGGGCCCTGGAGTTTACGGTTCAGGGTTTTAGAATCCCTTGCAATCCCCCAGAGACGCCATGCCCTCAGACCAAAGAAGCAGACCTAAACCCAAACCCAAAAAGCCAGCTTTAGACTTAACCCGAAATCAGAAACCCTCAACCTAAACCAAGAGCGACGGTTTCAGGGTTTAGGGGTTCAGGGTTTAAGGAACCAGTCTTCAAGATTTGGAGACTGTAATTTATAATGTTTGCAAGATAAGTACGTAGGACCATCTTGGGGCGCTGCAGCCGCAAGGTTTCGTCGTCTAGACTAAGCCGAGTTTCGAGTGGCCCCATGCCACGGAAGCCATGGTACGATCGGGAGCTGGGTTGGGACCATAATTCTGAAGGACAAATGCAGCCAACCGAAGCCTTCGAGCAGTTGTGGTGGTTGAACTACTGGCTTTGCTGCGGCATCGGCTGTGGCAGAGTCTGTGATCCGCCTTGCGAACATGCTTGCTACACAGCTTGCTGCAAATGCGTCTGTCAGCTCGCATCTCCGGGCAATCCAGTGTGTCAGCAGGTCATTGCATGCTGTTGCTGCCGTTCGATCCTCATGGTCCCACCGGAAGACATGCCCCCGTGCGTTTGTTGCAGCAGCTTGGCGACGGAAAGTGAGTAAGGTTTCTTTCTACATGACCTTACCATAACCTATGCTCTGTGGTGGCAGCTTTATGTTTTTCGGTATTGGATGTGCCGACCACGTCCATGCTGTACTGCACATTCAGTGTTCCTCTCCCATAGGGATGAGGTTAAGATTTTGGCTAGCTTTGGCGAGTACTAAAAACATAGTACAAGGACTTCTCTAAAGGTCCCTTCTTCTAACCGTTCTATAAAGCACCATATCCTCATCGTCAACCCCTTGCTGGCTTTCTTGCCAAAGATCGTCTTTAGTTTATAGTGATCCTCATGAGAGTCTAGCAGAGTCTTACAAGTCATCGGCCGCACCACTGTAGGCCACCAGCGGATGTCCAAAGCCACCACTTGGATTTGGGGCTCCAAATGGTTGGGTGTTGGCTTTAGAGTCTACGATCTTGTTTGAAGCGTTAAACAATTTAACTTCGGTGCGGAGTAGACTTTCTACAGGGAGCATCCTCGTGTCAGGCAAGCGACCATGCGGGGGCGCAGTGAGGCTGCGAGACCCACACCAGGCTCTTGACGCCCAGGAGCTTCGATGGGGTTTTTGGCCTTGCTGGTGTGGCTGCTTGGGTATGCACTGCCGCATCAAAGGCTGTAAACTGTGTGATGACTACGCGACAGATTCAAGGTACGAAGTGAAGCAGCTGTGCTGTCGTGCAAAGTGCTTGTGTCATGACCATGACGAAGGCTTCCACAACTGCTTCGGTCTATCGACATGTTTATGCTGCTGGACCCACTATCACTGCCCGCGAATCGAGAAAGCACCTTGCTGCGTCTGCTTTAACGTCGGATCATCCGGCACCAAAGTTCAGACGTTGCAGTAGCCGAAAGCTGCATTCCGGAATTCGGCGCAAAGCAGTTCTGGCACGCCGGGCGAAGCAACCCCCGCTAAGCCCCCCCCCCCCTTCCCGGCTATTTTTGCATAGCAGCTCAATCCCTCCCGGCAAAAGCCCGAAATCCTTCATCCTGAACCACCCTAGTCCCCGCGAGTAGCCATCGTCCCGAACCTCACAGAAAACCGACTCGAATCTGGGAGCGATAGATGGGTATTTCGGCATCGAGCGGTGGTTGTAGTAGCAGTAGAAGTAGCAGTAGTAGCACTAGCACTAGCACTA